TGTTAGACAATATTATACATAATTTAATTCTGAACAGATTTGTTAAATATTTCGTTTATGTAAGATATAAAGTTCAAAGTTACAAGAATTGAAATAAATAAATGCACTTGATCCAAGTCATCGATGTTTGATTGTAAATTTATAGTTATAAACTAAATTCAAACTATTATTTTATTTATAAATGCTTTTACAGCTAATATTTTAATTTATAGATATTATGAACTGATATGTTCTAATTATTTTCATATTTTTTTTGTTACTTATAGGCATTTTTATTTCTAGGCTGTTTGCGTACTTTACTCAAAAAAATATTTATAAATATCGACAAACAAAATAATTGACTAATTTTGCAAATTCACATTATAGTAGACATGTTCAAATACAATATATAAAAATTTCACTATTGTTGGTTAAATTTTATAGAAAATACATGAGTTCCAAATTTACATTTAAGCATATAATAATTTTAATCAATTTTTGCTGGCACGTTCATGCGCTTTCCTCAAACTTTTATTTATATCTCACGAAAAACAAAAAAATTACTAATTTTTAAAATTAGTATCTTAGTAGATATATTCAAGTATAATATATTAAAATTTCAGTACTGTTGGATCATTGTTATATAATATACATGAGTTCCAAATATACATTTAAGCATATAATAATTTCAATCAAATTTTGCTGGACGTTCATGCGCTTTCCTCAAACTTTTATTTAAATCTCACGAAAAACAAAAAATTTGACTAATTTTTAAAAGCAGAAGAACAAACGACATATTAAAGTATAAATATAAAAATTTCAGTATTTTTGGATCATTCTTATAGAAAATACACGAGTTCCAAATTTACATTTAAGGATATAATAATTTCAATCAATTTTGCTGGGACGTTCATGCGCTTTCCTTAAACTTTTATATATATCTCACGACAAACAAAAATTTTACTAATTTTTAAAAGCAGTATCATTGTAGACATATTTAAGTACATTATATTAAAATTTCAGTATTATAAGATCAATCTGATAGAAAATATATGAGTTTTAAATTTACATCTCGAAGGCGTGATGTATGTGGGTCGAAGAGTTCTCGACGTGGAACGATGTTACCAAATAAGGTCTTCGTCTCGACGATCTTTCACTTTAATATAATTATATACAAACATATATATATATATATATATATGTATATATATATATGCATATTTATATATGTGTGAAATTTTATGAGAGAAAACAAAAACATATTTTTCAAATAGCTCTTTAAAAAATTTGATAACTACTACTATTAATAAAACACTTTAAAATATATTGCAAATAAATAAATATAATGAATAAATAAACAAACTCCTAATAAATATATCAGTAATAAAAATAAATGGATCATTTTAGTTCATATATAATAATATAATAATCACTTTGATAATGAATATAGAAACTAGCAAATATAGGTAATAAAAATTCAATAAGATATCAGTAAGAAAATAAATTAGTTTAAGATACTTCGATAAAAACTTTCCTGATTTATTTATAATTCATACACTCTTTCAAAATGCTTTTTTGAGTAGCTAAAATTTATACAAAAAAAATATTGTAAATAAATTCCCTTTATATTTGCACTTTGGACAACACTGTATGCTTTCATACAAACAATTCCAATTTCACACTTATAATAATTCAATTTCGCAATTTGTTATAACTCGAACAAATCAGAAATTATATATTGAAATTTAATTTTATCATTTTATTCTAAATTAAATTTTTAAACTTGAAATCAAATATATTTGTTCATTTATACGATTTATTTATACATTACCGGACGTCGTTGGAACATATAGCATGGTCTTATAATTAATTTAAATTGGTTAAAAGATAGATTTAAAATGGTTTTTTTGTTTAATAATATTTGGCGAATTTTATTTATTTATGCAGTTTTTGAAGTAAGTCAGGCTGTAAACCATGAACAGTACTCTGGGGTATGTAAATGATAAAATAATATTATTTATTTGCTAAATTAACCATACATATTTTTTATGAGAAATCTTTTTAGTTACTCATTTATTTGTGCATAATTTTTTATTATATATCTTGTAACTTCTGAAATGTTTGTTTAATATAAATAGTTTGTTTGGCAAATCTGCACAAAATTGAATATTAATTTTATTGTCTAATATTTTAGAGTCTTAAACCAACTCGGTGTACTTGAAAATTGCAATTCAAATAGATTATGAGTTGGCGCTGTGATAGTACACGTACTTACAAAATGTCTTGTAACTTTCAAGGAGTTTGTTTTATTCAAATGGATATTTGACAATTCATTCAAATTGAATAATCAACATTATTGTCTAATATTTTAGAGTCCTAAACCAACTCGGTACTTGAAAATTGCAATTCAAATATAATATGAATCCGGGCGCTGTGATAGTACACGTACTTACAAAATGTCTTGTAACTTTCAAGGAGTTTGTTTTATTCAAATGGAATATTTGGCAAATTTATTCAAAATTGAATAATCAACATTATTGTCTAATATTTTAGAGTCCTACAGCAACTCGGTATACTTGAAAATTGCAATTCAAATAGAATATGAACCTAGGCGCTGTAAATGTGCACGTATTTACTACATCTTTTGTAACTTCCGAAGAGTTCATTTTATTTAAATGGAATATTTGACAAATTTATTCAAAATTGAATAATCAACATTATTGTCTAATATTTTAGTATCCTACAGCAACTCGGTATACTTGAAAATTGCAATTCAAATAGAATATGAGTCCAGGCGCTGCGATAGTGCACATATTAGGTTGTCAAATATCTCCCTTCCGCTTTTTTGCTCTTGGTTTATAATACAAAAAGGCGGAAGGGAGATATTTGACAACCTTATATTTACTAAATCCTTTGTAACTTTCAAGGAGTTTGTTTTATTCAAATGGAATATTTGGCAAATTTGTACAAAATTAAATAGTGAACAATATTTTCTAACATTAAAAAGCCCTACGGCAACTCGTTGTACCTTAAAACCGCCTTGCAAAACACATCAGCCATGTATTAAAAATTTAATTTAGTTTCGATCACGAACTGAAGACTTTGAACGACCATTGATTTATTATAATATTTATAACTTCAAAACCGCTTGTCTAATTTAAAAAGTATATTCATCAAATTTGTTCAAAATTAAATTATTTGCAATATTTTCTAACATCATAACGTTATAAAGCAACTCGATATAATTCAAAATTGCTCTTGAATGTAGGTAATGCATTCCAGCGCTCCAACCGTGTACTTTAAATTGAATACAAATCTTTAACTGTTTGTTCAATATGATCGGTGTCCAAGACAAACTTCTTTAAAAATTAAATTATCTATAACTTTTTTTAACAACAAAAGATGCTACAACAACTCGGTATACGTTCAATTTGCTCTTGAATGTAAGCAATGCATTCCAAGCACTTTTTTCTTAAATTCAATACAAATCTTCAACCGTTCGTTTAATATAAACGATCTCCAAGATAAATTTCTTCAAAATTAAATCATTCAACTTCAACTCTACAGCAACTCGGTATACTTTTAAAATGTTATTCTTTCAACTATTTTTCAGAAAAGCTTAATTCATAAGAAAGGATATGAACACGAGGAGTACAAATTCATATCCAAAGACGGCTACACCATAACCTTAGACAGGATGCCAAATCCTGGCTTGGAACCCATTTTGTTGGTTCCGGGAATGTTGCAGAGCTCGTCAGCCTTTTTGATACAGGGAAGAAGAAGATGTTTGGGTAAAAAATGATAAACAATTGTTTTTGTTATTTAATTAGTTAGTAGGCTGGTATATGCTTTAAGATATTGTTATATATTGTTTTTTCAGGTTCTATTCTTCAAGATAATGACTACGATGTGTGGATTATGAACCCTAGAGGTTCCTATAAGTCCAGGGATCACGTTAAATACAACGCCGAAAGAGATTTTGAATATTGGGATTTCACGTAAATATAATAGTTATATATTTGTACATGCAACCCTAAATTTTTACCTTTCTACCATATAAACTCTGATTTTAATCCCACTTTTATCGAAAAGATTTTTTCTTAGCAATAGTAGTCGTCTAAAAATTTAAAATAAAATTTTTTCCATATCTTTACACTTCGAAGGTTTCTGGACATTTTGGAGAAGAAATGGATATGTGTGTGTGTATACAATTTTTTAACTTCCCGTAGGGTAGTTATAGTAATGGGCCGAAGTCGAAAATGAAAATTTTTGCATTTATCGACGTTTTGAAGGTTTCTGAACATTTTGGCATACCTCAGAAAAAATGGATGTGTGTGTGTGTTTTGTATGTCCGCATTTTTTCGTCCACGTTTTCGGGCGCACGTATCAACCGATTTGAATGGTTTAAAAAGATTCGATCCCTATTGATAGGGAGATGTGCTCATTAGTTTTTGGCAAAGGCAGGTCCAGCCGTTACGGAGATACGGAGCAAAGAGTGCAGAAAATACAAATCGAGTTTTTGAGAGAACGGAGTATCGGATTTGAATGATCTAAAAAACATTCAATTTGTAATGATTGGGAGAAGAGGTGATTAGTTTTTGGCAAAGACAGGTCCCGCCATTTTGAAGATACAGAGCTATATGTGCAAAAATGGCACATTTTTGAGTGAACTGAGCGTCCGACTTGAATGATCTAAAAAACTTTCTGCTTGTATTGACAAAACAATTGCTTCTGAAGAAAAAAAATTATTACATCTTTTTTTATTTTCCATAAAATATTTTTATAATTTTGAAATGAAAATTCAAAAAATGACCCAGGCTAAGCACAGTCTAAGCGCCAGTCTGGTGCAAATGTTTACCCAAGTGCGTTTAGACCGTTTATGTATTGGAGCACTATTCCAATTTTGTGAAAACTATTGAAAAATGTGAAAATGCCGCCAAGCTAAGCGCAGTATAAGTGAAAATGTCGCACAGAATTATTTGCAAATTCGTTTAGACTGTGACTATACGGGAGCACTTTTTCAATTTTGTGCAAATTTGCCAACTATTTTTTTTTTAATCGAATTCGAAACAAAATGACGATTGTTAATGTAATAATTGATTTATGATTTACATTTGATTTGCTCAGATATAATAAGATAAATAATGGAAGTTACAGATTATTTGTAATAATATATTTGAAAACGTTTAAAATTTCTCGAATATTTCATTACTGTACGGGAAGTTCCAGCAATTCACCTTAAGGCACGATGCCATACACTATTAGTTACCACTAGTTTAGATTATTTTTGTTTACCTCCCAGTATGGATGAGACCGAAGTCTGTCCCCTGTTTCTCTCACACAATGAGATTTTAGCTCTTTATCCATTCACAGTTTTGGCATATAGTTATTGACTATGTTTCCATTAATAACTTTCCATTTCTTTCAGTATCCACGAACAGGCGATTTACGACATCCCAGGGGCCCTCGACACGATCACCAACATCACCCACAAAAGATTTGTGAATTACATCGGCCACTCTCAAGGGGCCACATTGGCCCTCATCTACTTCTCCGAGTTTCCAACACATACCAAGAATATAGGCACCACTTTGCTGTTGGCACCGATTATTGGATGGCCTGAAAGGACGCAGGAGGAGGCTGACCTGCTGAAGATCTTGTACAATGAACTTGTGGTAAGGGATAAAGAACACACCAAATAATCTTGATACATTATAAATCATTCATTATTATGCAGAATCACAGTGAGAAAAGGGATTTAAATGATCAATTCCATGCCAAAAGTTGGTACGGAAAAATGATCCGGTCGTTCTGCAGAGCCTACAGGAAGAAACCGAGTGGTTTCTGTGAAATTTTCAGATTTATTGTTCCTGGATATAACAGATGTGACAAAGATATCGTAAGTAAAACTAGCAGATAGAAAAATATTGATATCTAATTTCAAATAAATTATTTTTTAGCCTGTATCAGAGGAATTTCTGGACTCGATGCCTGCTGGAGTATCTTTCCGTCAGGTTTTGCACTACATGCAAATATACATGTCCGGTAAAAGATAATTATTTACATTTAGTACATTAAGAGGCTCAACTAGTGTGAAATTTAAAAAAATCGAATTTTCAATTTTTCCATATTTCGATAGGTTATACCTTTAAAAATAACATACCACAATTTTAAATCGATGTCTTAAACACTTTTTGAGTCACAGCCATTTAAAGAGTATATGTATAGTATATAGTACAACGATCATTTTATCTTCAAACGCGTTTTTCTCAAAACAGCATTTTCCGAATTTGCTGCAGCAATTACTCAAAAATAAATGATCCGATCACTATCAATTTTTTTTTACATGTTCTATATATAGTTCTCCGTAAAATGATCTATCGATTATTTAGTCGGATCAAAAATCGAATTTTGGCAGTCCAAAAACGACCAAAATTTTTGGTAAAATTCGATTTTTTTTAAAAAAAACGCTGTCATTTTGTCAATTTTTGATTTTTTTCTTTATCGTAGCTCATTTTACAGACAATGTTATCTAGTTTAACGAGATTTTTTTTTTTTAATTTTATCCACGTAGAGGGCCGGAATCACTGCAGAAGTGAAGAGCCTTTTTTTGTCGCGCCGTTGGAGATCGACGATAACTTAAAAAATATTAAATTTTTTTCTTCAAAAAATTTACTATGTATTCTTAAAACATGTATAAATATATTCCTAAAATTTTGAAATGATTGATAAAGTAGTTTTTTTTAATATAAATTCCCAAAAATCACCTTTTTTTAGACGGTTACACTAGTTGTGCCCCTTAATATAAAATGTATTAAATTTTTTTTTAAGTTGTACAACATTAGAAAGATTATCTCAGCGTATGATTTTTTTATTTGCTATGGGATTAGTATTTTATTTATTTTGTGGTGCTCTTTTTTTATTTTAGGCCAACTCCAGGGCTTCGATTATGGACCAGAAGGCAATATGGAAAAATACAAACAGCCCGAGCCCCCTGTATATGATGCTGGACATGCAAAGAACGAGCTTTCGGTATTTTATTCCGAAGATGACAATATATGCGCTCACGATGTAAGAAATAATCTGTTTATATATATATACTAGATGACCCGGCAAACGTTGTCCTGCACCCACGTCTACCATTCAAAAGTTCCAAATTCCTTAATATCCTATCCTATACTTTTTAATATCCTGTTTGATGTCCTGCCTTTGTGATTCATGTATGGTGTTAGCATAAGCAGTATAAGAATAAGAAAAAAATAATATAGTTCCTATGGTAGAAAGACAATATCAAACTTGATTTTACCACACAACATAATTGCTTCAATAATTTAGTCTATAATTTTCATAATCTCGTACGATATATTAGTTGCTTTTTGGTATGTATTCCCATCAATAGGAATGGAATACAATCCATTACAATACTATAGTTAACTTCCCGAAAGAGAAGTTTGTTTTTATCAAAAAAAATCTGGTTTGCTAATTTTATGTTTACTCGACGTTTCAAGCCATTCTGATTCGAATGAGACCAAATTTGAAAAAAGTATGTGTATGTGTGTGTATGTATGAGTGTGTGCGTGTGTGTGAACAGATTTTTTGCCGTAAATCGATGTTTTCTCAAAAACGGCTGGACCGATTTCAAACATTTAGAAGCCATTTGATGCACCTCGATGAGGACTATTGTTTGCCAGTTTTGTGCGACGATCGGCCAAGCCGTTTCTTTATAAATAGCAGAAAAGTGAAAAGCTTTTCGCCCACGTTTTAGGCCGCAATTCTGAATCGATTTTGAAAATTCAAAGATCCAAAGATATTGGTTGGTAATCGTGCTGATTAGTTTTTGGTAGAGATCGGCCGGGCCGTTTTCTTGTAATAAAATGTTAAAAAAATGTTAGTACGATTTTTATCATTATTTTTTTGATGATAGATACCATAGTCTTATAGATCATACTGAAATATTACGGCCCTACGACAACTCGTTTAACTTTAAAAATTCGTCAAAAATTGGTATCGTTCTTTTGGCATTTAGCCAACATTAGACCTTTCATCGACGTTTGCGCAAAAACGCCTGAACCGATTTTAGAAATTTAAAAGCCATTTGATGTATTTCGGTGAGGACTATCGTTTGTCAGTTTTGTGCGACGATCTGCCGAGCCGTTTCTTTATAATTCGAAAAAAAGTGTTAAACTTTTCGTGCACATTTAAGCTCATACTACCGAATTGATTTAAAAAAATCAAAAACTGTTCGAAAGATATTGGTTGGGAATGATACTGATTAGTTTTAGGTGAAAATCTACCGAGCCGTTTTCTTGTAATTAACTGTTGGAAAAAAAATTAAGCTGATTTTTATATAACTTTTTTGGCGATATATATCATGGTCTTATAGAATTTACTAAAATATTACGGCCTTACGACAAATAGTTTAAATGTAAAAAATCATCAAATTGTGAAAAAATGAGTAGTTTTTTTGACGTTTGTTAAAATTAAAATTAGGCGATTTACTTGAAATAACGATAGAGTACTTAGTCGTAATAATTATACTAAACCATTAAAGTCCTACGGAAACTGGTTCAATTACAAAAATTATTGATTTGTGAAAATTGGCTTTTAGAAAATACTCCGAGTTAACGTGTTCATTCTTTTTCAATTATATGTAATAAATTCACTCAGAATACTTTTAATCACTCATAAATTAATTAATTTTTTATTGATTAAGTCGATTATTAACACATATCAGGAAGTTCATGTAACTTGCCTCAAGGCAAAATACCAATACCAGCTAGTTACATTTTTTTCTCTTCGCCAGTCGGTTCACGACATGTTCGTTGATATGCGCGGCCTGAAGGACATCGTCCTGGTCGATGGCGATCACTTCACCCACAACGACTTCCTTTGGTCACCAGAGGCCTACGAAGAGGTCTACATGGAGGTGCTGTGGGAACTGAGCGGCTTGATACATAAAATTCAATCTTACATGGCCATGAGCAGCACGGTGGAATTTGAATCGGATGAAAGTGATGAATCGTCGGAAGAAAGTGATGAAGATGATAGTCATCAGCCGAAGGAAAAGCGTGCTCATCAGCCGGGTCATGATCACAGTCATGAGAAGAATGATGATCATGGTCATCAGCCGGATAAAACTTCAAGCTAAGATGGAGAAAGCAGCAGAATTATTAAACAAATTTGTTTATAATATCTCTTGTAACTATTGAACAGTTTGAGTAATATAAATCAAACTTTAAGAAAACTTGTTTGAAATTAAATTATTTATAATATTGTCTAATATTATAGAACTCTACAGCAACTCGGTATACTTCAAAATTGGTTTTGGAAATAGATTATTAACGCAAGAAAGTAGAGCAACTCAAATTCAATCTAGAACTAGCTTTATGAAATTTTATTCTTTTGTTCAAAATATCTCTTGTAACTTTTGAATCGTTTGTGCAAAGTTAGTGAAATATTAAGCAAATTTATTTAAAATTAAATTATTTATAATATTGTCTAATATTATAGCATCCTACAGCAACTCGGTATACTCCAAATTTGCAATTGAAATATAGATTGATGACGTTGACGATCTCTTGTAACTTTTGAATCGTTTGTGCAAAGTTCGTGAAATATTAAGCAAATGTGTTTAAAATTAAATTATTTATAATATTGTCTAATATTATAGTACTCTACAGCAACTCGGTATACTTCAAAATTAGTTTTGGAAATAGATTATTAACGCAAGAAAGAATAGCAACTCAAATTCAATCTAGAACTGGCTTTATGAAATTTTATGCATTTGTGTAAAATATCTCTTGTAACTTTTGAATCGTTTGTGCAAAGTTATTGAAATATTAAGCAAATTTGTTTAAAATTAAATGTTTAATAATATTGTCTAATATTGTATAACTCTACAGCAACTCGGTATATCTTAAAATTGCAATTGAAAATTAGGTTGTTATCGTTAGCGCATACTAATCGAGTGACCCACAACCAATCGTGAATTTGCTTTATGGAATTTTATGCATTTTTATATGCATATTTTATGAATTTTATATCTCTTGTAACTTTTAAACGGTTTGAGTAAAGTACATAAAATATTAAAGAAATTTGTTTAAAATTAAATGATTTATAATATTGTCTAATATTGTAGATCTCTACAGTCACTCGGTATACCTTAAAATTGCAATTGAAAAATAGATTGTTGACATGGGTGCATACTTTATGCGTTTGTTTATTATATCTCTTGTAACTTTTGAATCGTTTGTGCACAGTTAGTGAAATATTAAGCAAATATGTTTGAAATTAAATTGTTTATAATATTGTCTAATATTGTAGAACTCTCCAGCAACTCGGTATACTTAAAAATGCAATAAAAAATTAGATTGTTAACGTGAGTGTATACTTATCGAGCAACCCATAACCAATCGTGGATTAGCTTTATTTTATGCATTTGTTTAATATATCTCTTATAACTCTTGAATCGTTTGTGCAAAGTTTGTGAAATATTAAGCAAATTTGTTTAAAATTAAATTGTCTATAATATTGTCTAATATCAGGAGACTCTACAGCAAGTCGGTATACTTAAAATTGCAATCGAAAATTAGATTGTTATAGTGAGTGCATACTTATCGAGCGACTCATAACCAATCATGAATTGGCTTTATGCCTTTGTTTATTATATCGCTCGTAACTTTTGTCCAAAGTTATTGAAATATTAAGCAAATTTGTTTAAAATTAAATTGTCTACAATATTGTCTAATATCACAAGACTCTACAACAACTCGGTTCACTTGAAAATTGCAATTGAAAATAGAAAATTGTTTAGAGCTAGCTAAATGTGCATTAATTCATGATATCTCACATAACTTTCAAATCTTTCTTCCGAGAGGAATGAAATATTTAACGAATTTGTATAAAATTAAATTATCTATAATATTTTCTAACATCATAACGCACTACAGCAACTCGATATACTTTAAAATAGTAATTGAATGTAAAAAATATATAGGTCTATAGACATTTTAACCAGGAATTGCATGTATTTGATTTTATGCATTTTTTTTATAATAACTTCCAAACCGTTTGTGCAAAGTTAGTGAATTATTAAGCAAATTTGTTTAAAATTGAATGCTTTATATTATTGTCTAACATTATACTGCTCTATAGCAACTTGGTTTACTTTAAAATAGCAATTGAATGTAAAAATAGAGATCTATAGAATTTTGACCATGAATATGTGTTTATTCATGTTTTTATTATATCCATATATCTCTGAACCGTTTGCGTATTATATATTAAATATTAAGCAAATTTATTTAAAATTGCATAATCTTTGTATAATATTATACTGCTCTACAGCAATGTACCTTAAATTGCATAAATTTATTTTGATTCAAAATTCGCGCCTTCGGTGACAAGTTCCTCACTTCAAGTTGCACAATTCAATCCTTGCACGAGCTCTAGGCATTTATATAGAGCGCTGATCAGTCGTTATCAATCCTTCTTTGAGTGCCGGTGTAAACAAATATTTAACCATTTCTACATGTGTTTTTACATAAATTTAATAATGAATCTTATTATAAAGTGTTTAAACATCTCTACAATGGAGATTAATTGTTGTGTTGAGCTTGATAAATGTGTATTTGTTTATTACTACTTTTGGGACCTGTTGAACAAGATGGATGCGATATTTGGTAAATTTGCACAAAATTTAATAACCTATAATATTTGTATACTTATGCATGTAAAGGATTTTATATATATAACTAGTCGCTATAGCTTTACAATTGCGATTTAACATAAATAATTATATCGAATGTGCATTTATTTATTAAGCTTGACATTCCTGTAACATTTGGAACTTTTATCCAAGATGGACGAAGAATTTGGTAAATTTGAACAAAATTTTATTATTTATTATTTAATCTCTAAAGTAACACGGTGTGCTTTAAAATTGCGTTTTGACATAAATAGTTACACGTAGTGCACTTATTTAGTATTAGACTTGTGATTTTTAACTGCTCTGTTAATATTAATATAACATTAAATTAATTTGTTTAAAACAAAATGGTGCACAATATGGTTAAACGTCAAAAGATTTTACAGCAACTCTGTATAGTTCAAAATAATACCTCAAAATAGAAAATTCTTTATCAATAATAATATATTTATTGATATTTAGAGGAAAATGTAAGAACAAAATATTTTCTCTAACAATTTTGAACTTGAATATATACAAACAATTGTTTAGTGTAACATTATTTCACAGACATCGTTTTGGAAACTTTCAGGTCCAATAATAAATTTTATCCTATTGCTTCAAATAAACATCAATATATAAATAAATTCTCTATGATTCTTTATCTATTCCTTATTTATAGAATCTAGTGCTTTTATTTATTAAATCTCTTATAACTTTTGAACAGTTTGAGTAATATAAATAAAATATTAAGCAAATTTGTTTATAATTAAATTATTTACATTGACAATGTTGTCTAATATTATGCATCCCTACACCAACTCCATATACTTTTATAATTCAAGAAAGCATATACGTACAGTATTATAAATGCATTTGTTTATCATTTCTCTTGTAACTTTTAAACCGTTTGAGTATTATAAATGAAATATTCAGTGAATTTGTTTAATATTAAATGATTTATAATCTTGTCTAATATTATAGCACTCTACAACATCTTGGTATACCTTAAAATTGCAATTGAAACAAAAAATAGTTTGTTATTTTGAATACGTTGGGAATGCTCATATATTTATTATATCTTAAAATTTTTAAAACGCGTTTATATTAGATAAGTACAAAAAATATTTGTAAAAATAGTTTAAATTATATTATTTTCATGATTATCTATTAGGGGCCGTCTGAGGGACGTACCTTCAATTAGGGGTTTGACAAAAAATTACCTAAGAGAGGGCGGAGTCTAGTAAGATATCACATGTATTTATTTTTTACCTGAATTTAAAAACAGAACAAAATTTTATGTTTTTTTTCTAGGTACTAAAAATAGGACGAATAGGGGTTATTTTTAATATGAACAAGGGTGAGGGGATGGGTCCAAAAATCGTTAAAAATCGATCACGTGATTAATAACCCCTTATTATAATGATCTTCAGAAATTTTGTATACTTTGAAAAATAGAAAATTATTCTGAACTTACAATTACTTAGTACACGTATAAGTGCATTTTTTTGTTATATGTCTTATATCTTCCAAACCGCTTGTCTAAAATTTATAAAATATTTGGTAAATTTGTTCAAAATTGAATAATCTATAATATTTTCTAACACCACAAGTCTCTACAGCAACTCCGTGTACTTTAAATCGCATTTGAAGAGAGAAAATTGTTCTGAGCTTGCAATTAGTTCAAGTGCACATATTTATTATATCTCTTGTAACTTACAAACCGCTTCTCTAACATATATGAAATATTTGGCAAATTTGTACAAAATTGAATAATCTATAATATTTTCTAATATCATAAGTCTCTACATCAACTCGGTATATTTTAAAACCGCATTTGATAAGAGAAAATTATTCTCTATACTTACAATTAGTTCAAGTGCCCATATTTATTATATCTCTTGTAACTTACAAACCGCTTGTATAATATATATAAAATATTTGACAAATTTGTTTAAAATTAAATTATCTATAATATTTTCTTATATCATAAGTCTCTACAGCAACTCGGTATACTTTAAAATCGCAATTGAAATTAAAAAAAAAATTCTGTCTAGTTGCTTGCAACCACACATGTATAAAATAATGTCTTCATTGAATTGCACTAAACAATATATTGTTTAGTGAATTTACACAAACAACTATTAAACTATTAGCGACAGTTTGTCTCTGTAAAAGAGATCATTTTTATATTCCTCGTCCTGAAGTAAAACTTCCATGGCAACCAAAGTTTTGTTGATGAAGTAAACTCTCTGAATAATTTTCAATGCAAGCGAAATGAAGAGTTGGAAAATTTATCTAAATAACTAAATCTGAATTTTGTTGATTATATAAGTCGTTGTTTTACACTTGCCTTAAGAAAAAATGCCATTTACAACTAGTTCTATATTAAATTAAAACCAAATGGAGCATTTACCTGATGATTACGACATTTTGTCGCACCCTTTGTTCCAATTGCCAAAAACTTTCAGAGAAAAGCCGACATTTAAAGGTGCCAAACATAAA